TAGGATGGTGTGCTGATACAGGATCTTGACTGGTGTGAGATGATTGCGTGTCCTTCACGACTATCAAGAGAAACAGAACTAAAGCACAGGTATGAGTAGTAGTTCAGATAGGCTCACAGAAAAACCAGTGCCATTTACAAATTTGAATTTTAAGGTTCTAACAGCCAATAGAACAAAGGCCTGAAATCATTTAAACATGTTCACTTTATAACATATTCAATAATTTCTATATTGGATATTCCTGGTAAGAACAAGACCAAAGAGGGCATTATTTCAGTACATTAAGGAGCCCATTCTACTAAATACGCAGTTGCGCAATTGACCTAGACTTTTAAAATCTAACTCCTGCACGTCCACGTTTGATTTTGTGATCTTCCACCTTTCCTGCATTTAGAATGGAAGTGACCAAAACCATCTGCACAGGCAGGAACCTCATTTTAGATGAGGTTCAAGCAGATGAAAGGGTGTAAGTAGGGTCACAGGGCTAGTTAGCTTGTCTGCAGCAAACAGAAGCTCTAAATCTGAGCTATAATTCCCCTCCAATTATAGATGCTTTGCCAATGCTCTGTTTTATGTGTCCAAGGCAAGACTGTTTTATGGAGTGTAGGATTTGGAATTTGACAGAGGGGTGTGTTTGACTTAGTCACGCGTTACAGCCTGGTAGGGCTTCCTTTGGTTGCAGTCCGGCTCCCCACTTGCTAATACGAGGTGCATGGAGTTGAAGCAAAAGTATCATGTGTGCCAAATGCATAGTGCACAGAACGTGGCTGTGAATTGATCCATTTCTCAGTTGGTTGCTGAAGGAAAGGCGGTACCTGCAACACAAGTGTTGAAACGGGATGTAAAGCAGTCACGAGGGAAGGTGGAGGGCACCCTTCAAGGATTCACACCCGTGGGCGAGAGCAGTTTCGGCTGGGAAAGTCGCTGAGGTCACCAGCACATACCTGATGAACAGAAGGCCAGGCTTAAGGAATACAGTGGTCACGTGCATTTGTCTTTAGAAAACTAACTTACATCACCGGTGGCCATAAAGTCATTGCCCTACAGCAAGGTCAGCATGTCTCAATAGCAGCGAGCATTTCTTCAGAAATCCCAACTTCGAAATAATCCAAATGATATAATTACCAATATTAAATCAATTTTTTATAATTTTGATATAAAATTCACATCATACCCTTCCATAGTTGTCGCTTTTCTTTTTTTTTTTTTTTTTTTTCAAAAAATGGAATTTATTTTAAGTCAATAATTAAACAAATAGTATACACTATTGAAATATTAGAAACATGACATTATACTTAGCCATCATATAGATTGGAAGTGGGATAAATTTTCCCCTCTTAGAACAAAACTTTTCAGAGAAAATACTGTATAATGTGTTACTTGTATATTGAAATAACTGGATTTTTATGGTAGTTTAATGAAAATGTTGACATGTTGTTATCTATATTGAAGCTTAATTCCTTAAATTGATGAAAGATTAATCTGTAAATCCAATTTTATGTTTAGGTATTTGCATTTCATACAATTCAACTTTTGATATATATTAATTGTGAAATTGCCTAAGTTAAGTTTATATTTCATTGTTCCTTTTATTCTGTGAAAATTGCAATGTATTGCAGTAAAACTCTTTTAGATTAAATGTACTAGTTATAATCATAGCCACCACAAAGTAAAACTTTGTTCATATTTAGAATGAATATGAGACTCAAATTAAGAAAACACAAATACGCTCAGAAGATAGCCTGGGAATAAAAGGTGAAGTGAAAGATGAAGACAGGGAAAAGGTAATAAATTAAGATCTTAAACTTTATGATACCATAGACTTTCTGGAGTATTCATCTTTTAAACTATTGCTTTATATAAAATCATCTTATTACAAAGATCTCTTTTGAATAAGCCTTAAATGATTGTTTAACTGATAGAGTACTGCTTTAATGTCTAGTCAATTAAATTTGCTGAAAGGCAGTCATTTGGGGGTTAAAAGAGATAGAATTAGAAGGAAGGCTTAGTGTCCTTAGGAGGTAAACTTGCGCATATCTAAATTATCCTTTATAGTTTTTTTTTAAGTTGGAGAAATATTTTAAATGAAGAGTAAACAAAATGTGATATTTTATTATTTTTCTTTATATATAATTTTGCACATTTTAACCTTTTCATAGAGAAAGTAAAAAGAAAAGATTGCATATCTAAGCAACAGATAAAAAGACTGGCATGGAATACTTAAATAAATTCTGCTATGTATCTGCCATAATGCAGGCTTCTAATCCTACTGCCTATCTCCATATAAATGATTCTGTTCAAGACCATAGATGTTTTCTTCCCTAAAAGCAGTAAAGCTCTTTTAGATGAAATGTCTAAAAACATCTTATAATAACTTGGAGCATGCTGGCAAGAGTAGTCACTTGTGACTATGTGTGAAACCCCCTCAGCCAGTTGATAGTGTAATAAGCAAAAAATGGTAGCATCACTCCATTATTCAGAAAAGCCAACAGCGTGCTTGTTCCTTAGGCTGCAGCATTCATTAAGAAAAGCTTACTGGGCTGAAAGCTGGAAACAGATGATAACGGGATATGATTTTCATATTTAATGCTTTCCTTGGAAGAGTATGTGTGCTACAGATTGATAGAAGAATCAACTGCTACTTTACTAAAAGACTTTCAGGTTTGCCCTATAGCTACCGATGGAATCATTCAGCCAAGAAATTAACTTTTTCTCCTTTTACCTGCTTTATATATCTGCTAAGCAGGCTGCCTGGCTGAGTTGTCGCTTTTCTTAGAGTACATCATTGCACATAATCACAACCTGTTCTAGTGTACCGAACATTAATTATCTGCTTCCCGAGTCCCCGGATCCCCCCACAGCCCAATAAGGCACTATAAAGTTATTTATTGTCTCTAAGGATCCACTCCTTCCATGCTTCATACACGAGGAAACCTAACTGAAACACAAGACAAAATGAAGCATCAAGAAACTAATAATAGCAAAGATAAATAAAAATAAACAGAAATAAAAGACCACCAGCAAAATTAAAATAAGCTAGAGAGAACACTTCAGTCATGGAACAACTGAGAAATATTGAAAGCAACTGCAAATTCAGGTTAGATCGAGGGAGGTCAACTGACCAGGTATCATATAGCATAGTCCCACCCCCCACCATCAAGTTCACAATACTCTGATGGCAAAACTGTTCTAATCCCTTGACTGTGGCTAGATGGGTTCTGCCAGACTTCCCCTGTCTAGGTCCTATGAAGATGGATTTGGGGCTCCCACTGTCCTCCATAAGGGCTGATACTTTTCCCTTCATCATATCTGGAGTTTGTTACTGTTACCTTTGGGTCACACAGCCTGGTGTGCTTCTTCCATGTAGAAGGGGGGCTCATCTGATAAATCAAATGATTTCAATATACACACCTTACTTGGCTATCAGTTCAAGATAGTTACAGCAATTTTGTGAGCATTTAAACAAAATCATTTTATTGGGGGCTCGTACAACTCTTATCACAATCCTTACAGACATTGTCAAGCACATTTGTACATGTTGCCATCATTCTCAAAACATTTACTTTCTACTTCATCCCTTGCTATCAGCTTCTCATTTTTCCCCTCTCCACTCCCTCATGAACCCTTGATAATTTAGAATTATTTTGTCATGTCTTACACTCTCCGACATCTTCCTTCACCCACTTTTCTGTTGTCCATCCCCCAGGAAGGGGGTTATATGTAGATGCTTGTGATTGGTTCCCCCTTTCCACCTGCTATTGCTACTCTCATTATTGGTCCAGAGGGGTTCAGCTATTCTGGATTCCCTGTTTCCAGTTCCTATCTGTACCAGTGTACATCCTCTGGTCTAGCTGGATTTGTAAGGTAGAATTGGGGTCATGATAGTGGGAGCAGGAAGCATTAAAGAACTACAGGGAAGCTGTAGGCTTATTGTTGCTACACTGCATCCTGACTGGCCGGTTCCTCTCCGTAACCCTTCCGTAAGGGGATGTCCAGTTGCCTACAGATGGGCTTTGGGTCCCCACTCCGTACTCCCCCTCATTCACGATATGATTTTTTGTTCTCTAATGCCTGGTATCTGATCCCATCGACACCTCGTGATCACACAGGCTGGGTGAGCATTCATTGATCTGTGTTCTTATCATTTGTACATTTCACTTTCAGTGGTAGCTTTTCAATATAAATTTTATAGAAGTGTGCCAAATAGCTAAAAAACACAAAGTATTAAATTGTTAAGCTGTAGCAACTTTACTATGTTAACAAAACGGAGGGATTTTGGATTATTTCCTAGTAGCAATAGGACTTCCAACCAGTATTCAAAGCTACAAAATGGAGAAAGTAGGGCCATTTCTACTTGCTCAGGCTGTTGTGAAGGAGCCTACCTGTTGGACTGCTAACAGCAAGGTCAGCAGTTCAAACACACCAGGCCCCTGCAGGAGATAAAGGAGGCTTTCTGTTCTGTAAAGATTTAGTCTTGGAAACCCACAGTGGTAGTTGTACTTTATCCTATAACGTTGCTCTGAGTTGGAATCAACTCAATGGCAGTGAGTTTAGTTTTGGAAAGGCAGCTATGAACATTAAATTTACAAGTACAGTCGTCTATATAGGTCTATCAACAACCTTAATCAGTTCAAGTCTCCCAAGTGTTGGTGTCAAACTTAATAATATCAACAAAACCTTTGATTCACAAACATTCCCTTTAAGGCTGATGAGTGATTCAAAATAAAAATGAGGTGACGGATGTGTGAACAGAACATAAAGCATGATACAAATCAAATGTGGTTTCAAAGGATGGTTACTTACTTAAAAAGTGAGCCTATTCATGTCTCATATTTTATTTTAAAAACAAAAATATTACAACATGTTTTGAGGGCACCAACATACAATTACAGAC